ATATATATATATATATATATATATATATATATATATATATATATATATATATTTGTGTGTGTGTGAAAGAGAGAGACATCATGAAAGTTAAAGAAAGACAGAGAAAGAAGAAAGCGTCAGATAAAAGAAACATTTCCGAATGGTCTTCCTCTGCAAACTTCCCACGCCAGATTGTCCAAAAATGAAACGCGGTCTTCTTGGAAACGCCACTCGACGCTTCAACTCGACCCTGATTTAACGCTGGCTGGTGGAGGGTCCTTCGGCGTTCATGGCCTCGTTCACTCGTTAAGGGCACTCGTTCATTCATTCGCTCGTTCGCTCGTTCATTCATTCGTCGTTCGCTCGTTCGCTCGTTCATTCACTCACTCGTTCGCTCGTTCATTCACTCCCTCGTTCGCTCGTTCATTCACTCGTTCGCTCGTTCATTCACTCCCTCGTTCGCTCACTCACTCGTTCGCTGGCTCATTTACTCAGTTACTCACAAGTACGTGTGTTCATTCCCTTGCTTGTATGAACATTTTCTCACTTAATAAGTACAGTTACTCACTCTTTCACTCACTGGTTTTGTCACTCACAAGCCCACTCACTCTTTCACTCACTCTCCTTACTCGCTCACAAGCACACTCACTCTTTCACTCACTCTCCTTACTCGCTCACAAGCACACTCACTCTTTCACTCACTCTCCTTACTCGCTTACAAGCACACTCACTCTTTCACTCACTCTCCTTACTCGCTTACAAGCACACTCACTCATCTTTCACAAATTCACCTGCTTACTCACACTCCCAGAAGCTCTCTCACTCACTGGTTTCCTCTCTCTCACAAGCCCACTCACTCTTTCACTCACTCTCCTTACTCGCTCACAAGCCCACTCACTCTTTCACTCACTCTCCTTACTCGCTCACAAGCACACTCACTCATCTTTTCACTAATTCACCTGCTTACTCGCACTCCCAGAAGCTCTCTCACTCACTGGTTTCCTCTCTCTCACAAGTACACTCACTCGCCTAACCACTCATTAACTTTATTTTTAAACACTCACTCACCTGTTTACAAAATTACCCACATGCAAGCTCACTCAATCACTACTCAACTTATTCGTTCACTCTCGTTCACTCAACTAAAAGCAAACTCACTCACTCACTAAATTACTCGTACACTCATGAGCCTCCTCGCCCACTTAGTCTGTCAATAAGCACATTTACTCATTCACTCATTAGCCTACTCTTTCACTCACTTACAAGCACATTCAGTCACTCACTAGCTTACTCATTCACTCACAAGAACACATTAACTGGCCTACTCGCTCGCACATTCACTCACTCACCCAAAAGCAAACGCACTCATTCACTAGCTAACTCGCTCACTCACTCACAAGCATACATTGTACTCACCCAAAAGCAAACGTACCACTCGCTAGCTTACTCACTCATTCACTCACAAGCTTACTGGTCACTCACCCAAAAGCTCACTCACTCACTCATTAGCTAACTCACTAACTCACTCACAAGCATACTGGTCACTCATCCAAAAGCAATCTCTCTCACTCATTAGCTAATTCACTCACTCACTCACAAACTTACTGGTCACTCACCCAAAAGCAAGCTCACTTACTCATTATCTTACTCGCTCACTCACTCACTCACTCACAAGCTTACTGGTCACTCACCCAAAAGCAAACTCACTCACTCATTAGCTTACTCGCTTATCACTCCGCTTACTCACTCACAAGCTTACTGGTCACTCACCCAAAAGCAAGCTCACTCACTCACCATTACTCTTTCACTCACTCACTCACAAGCTTACTGGTCACTCACCCAAAAGCAAGCTCACTTACTCATTAGCTTACTCTTTCACTCACTCCCTCATTCGCGCCAATTTTTCTCGCGTTTGTACCTAATCGGCGAGAGAAAGTTACGTCGTTTCCGGTCTTGGGGGGGGTGAGGGGTGGGGGGAGGGGAGGGGGGTGGGGGTGCCGAGCGGAAAGGGAAACGAGCTTAAGAAAGATTTTAGAATTTGGCGTTTTTTCTGGTTGTGATTATTATTCTTATTATTATCATTATTATTATTGTTGTTGTTGTTTTTTAATCAATATTATAAATGATGAATTTAAGGAAGATTTTTTTGAATTGAGAGCTTCTGTTGTCATCGTTGTTGCCATATGATTGGTATCAATTATGCTTGTTATCGCATTTTTCTTATCAATACTGTTAATATTATATCATAAAAGATACCATGAAAAATAAGATACCATCACATTACGTAATATAAGAAAAAATACCTGAAGATACCGCGAGATACCATCACGTCATTTTACCATTAATACCATTAAAAACATAAAGAATTAAGAGAACATCAAGTAATTATCAAGCAGGAATTAACACTCTCTCATATCTGTAATTTGAGATACAATTTTTTTTTTTTTAATCGGAAATGTGGAAAATGAAGTTTGTTCAGTTAAAGTTAGATTTTTTTCTGTCTGTCTCTTTCTCTCTCCATAAAACTGAAAAAAATGAATAAAAATTTTAAAAAAATAATAATAATGTGGAAAATGAAGTTTGTTCACTTAAAGTTAGATTTTTTTCTGTCTGTCTCTTTCTCTCTCCATAACAGAAAACTGGAAAAAATGAATAAAAAAAAAAATATTTTTAAAATGTGGCGCAAATATCAAACCATCGTGACATTTATTTTACGTAATAGATTGAATGCTTTATTTTATTTTTTGTATCTCCTATTTCCTTTTTTTTTTTATCTTTTTTTGGCGGTGTTCATAGGCTGTGACTATGGGGTAGGGCAGGAAAGGAGGAGGAAGGAAGGAAGGAGGAGGAGAAGGAGGGGTGCGAGAAGACAGAAGAAGAGAATTAGGAGGAGGAAAGGGGGAAGGTGAGGAAGAACTAGAAGCAGGAGAGGATGGAGGAAAGAAAGGAAGATAAGGAGGAAGGAAGAGAAGAGAGGAAAGGAAAGAAGAAAATTGGAGGAGGAGGGAATAGAGGTGGAGATGGAGGAACAGGGGGGAAGAAGGTGATGAATGATGGGAGGAAGAAAGGAAGATGGAATTACGATGAGAAAGAAGAAGAAAAGGAGGGAAGGAAGGAGGAAATAAAGGATAGGGAGGAGGAAAAGAAAGGAAACGAAAGACAACAACGACAAAGGAAGGAGGAGGAGGAAGAGAAAGATAAAAAAAAAAAAAAAAAAAAAAGAGGAAGTCGAGAAGAAGAAGAAGAAAAAAAAAGAAAACGAGAAGAAGAAGAAAAAGAGAAAGAAAATCTCAGAAATTCAAAAATTCTCACCAAAATCCCTCCTTTTTTATCTACCAAAATAGCTTTTATTTTTGTCTTCGGGCCGTCACAGCTGAGAGGGGCATCGAGAGGTTATTGTATTGTGTAGAATGTAGAGTTGAACACCTTTTATATGGTGGACTTACGGTCGTCTTTGCCTTAAAATATGTATGAAGGAAGAGCCATCTTGAAGAATGTTGTTCAAGAATGTATTTTTAAGTCCGTCTCTATTTTTTTTTTCTCTTCCTCTGTTGCTCTCTTTTTGCTTATCTTTCTCTATTTACCATTTTTCTTTTTATGTTACTTACTCTCTTTCTCTTTCTTTATTTCCCATTTTCTTTTTATGTTACTCTCTCTCTTTCTTTCTCTTCCCTTCCTTTTCTTCTCTGCTCGCCCTCTCCTTCTATATCTCCATTTCTCTCTCTCTTCTCTCTCTCTCTCTCTCATTCTCGCTCTCAATCTCTCTCTCCCTCTCTCTCTCTCTCTCTCTCTCTCTCTCCTCTCTCTCTCTCTCTCTCTCTCTCTCTCTCTCTCTCTCTCTCTCTCTCTCTCTCTCTCTCTCTCTCTCTCTTTCTCTCTCTCTCTCATTCTCTCTATCTCAGTCTGACGAGTAAAAGTACGAATATTTTCCTGCAGGAATTCTTGAACATATATATAAGATCTATGTTATTTTCATGTGACAAGACCAAATATTTTATAAGGTGTGATTCAAGCGCCGATCTTCTTAGGTAACATTCGTACAGTATATTTTTAGACTTATTCTCTTATTTTTTTTATGTTTTCTTTATTTATATATTTTTTTATTTTCTTTATTATTATCTTTCTCTTATTTATATATTTTTTTCTTCAATTCAGAGTATTCCAAATTTTGAAAATGCTGAATGCGTTTGTATACCGGATCTGATGATAGACTGGGTATTCTTGTGTTGTCCGTTTGCTCCGTAAATTCGCAAAACGGTATTCGCTGTATATCTATCTATCTATCTATCTATCTATCTATCTATATCTAATATATATATATATATATATATATTATATATATATAATATATATATGTATGTATGTATGTATGTATATGTATATGTATATATATACATACATAATGTATATGTATGTGTCTAAGTCGCTGTCCCCATCTCTTCTTCCTCTATAACCCAACCCCTCCCCCCTCCTCCTCCCTCTTTCTCCTCTATAACCTTTCTCCCTCCCTCTCTCCCTCCTCCTCTTCTAACCATTCCCCTCCCTCCCTTCCCTCCCCCCCCCTCTCTCTTCCTCCTCCTCCTCCTCTCTCATTGACCCTCCCCCCTCTCTCTTCCTCCTCTCCTCCTCCCCATTGACCTCCCCTCCCCTCCTTTCCTTCCTCCTCCCCTCTCTCTTCCTCCTCCTCCTTCATTGACCCTCCCCCTCCTTCCCTTTCCCTCCCTCCTTCTCTCTTCTCCTCTTCCTCCTCCCCATTGACCCTCCCCCTCCCCTTCCCTTCCCTCTCCTCCCCCTCTCTCTTCCTCCTCCTCTTCCTCCTCCTCCTCATTGACCCTCCCCCTCCCTTCCCTTCCCTCCCTCCCCTTCTCTCTTCCTCCTCCTCCTTCTCCTCCTCCTCATTGACCCTCCCCCTCCCCCCTCCCCCCCCCCCCCAGACGCCGCTGGAGTCGAACAGGAACTCTGTCTCATCCTAAGCGGAGGCCAGACGGAATGCGACCCGCCAGTGCGCTTGGTGCTGTGGTCGGGAGAGGTTGTGCTGCGCCGCTGCTCCCGCGCTCCTCAGTGAACGGGGTCCGCGTGTTTTGTTTTTAGATGTGAGGGAATTTTGGTTTTCTATTTTTGTTTTTTGTTTTTGTTTTGGAACTTGTACTCGTAACGTGATGAAATGTTTTATTTATCTATTTGGTGAAATGATGTACGGATCGGATTAAAAAAAAAAAAAAGTGAAAAAGAACATGATTGAAATGACATGAATTTGAAGTGACTCCTTTGTGGGAAAAGACGTGGATATACTCCCTCGAAGAGTGGTATAACCGATATACTTTTAACGGTTATATGACGTGAAGTGACAAGAAGACCGACAGGAACCCGGTTGGTATATTCGCAAATAAGGAGGAATTTTAATCAAACTGTTTCCTTAATTTTTTTCAAGTTTTATTTCTTTGTGCTGGTGTGGGATTTCGTGTGTATGTGAAAAAAAACGTGCACGTTCTTGTATACATGCGTACACACATGCACGCCCAAGCACAAAAACAAACAGTCGTATGCACAAAGTCCAGTTTAGTCTCATAGACACGCACACGCACACGCACACGCACACGCACACGCACACGCACACGCACACACACACACACACACACACACACACACACACACACACACACACACACACACACACCACCCACACACTCACACGCACGCCACGCACACACACACACACACACACCTACTCAGAGTAACCAGACCTCCAACGCGACCCCCCCCCCCCATCTTCACCCTTCCTTCCTCATACTTCCTCTTCCTTTCATATTTTCTTGTTCCTTCTTCCCCTCCCCCTCTCCGTGTTTTCCGATATTATTCCTCCACCTCTTTCAATTTCTTTCTCCCTTTTTCCACTCTGTCTTCCATAGCTTCGTGCTGGCACTGTCCTTCCATTGACCCCTCCTAGACGTCCTCCCACTTCTGTGCTACGCTCTTACGTCCTCTTACTCCAGTTTCTAGATTCTCCTCTACTATACCACCTCCCTCTATTTCGTCACTGGTGCCACGTCTCATTCTCTTACGAACCACGAGCGCTCGTTCCCTCTTCCACTTCCTCCTCCTACCCGCTGTATGCCCCCAAGCACGAGCATCTCCCAATACCCTCCCTTACGTGTTCCACTACCGTCTTTCCTTTTTACTTGTTACCTCCTGCCAATATTCCTTGTAGTAGCTCACGTGACATCCTCCCCAACTGTTAATTTCCACCAGCGACCCATTAATACTCCTCCTCACTCTCTCTGCTCTGTCTCAACCTCCGACTGCGCTTCTTCTACCTCAGCGCTGCATTCTACCTCCTCTTACGTGTTATCCTACTAACTCCAGAGACTCTTCCACACTTTCTACCCAGCGCAGTCCCTTCCACCTTAGTGCGGCTTAGTTCTCTCGCCCACAGCTGACACCTACCATACTCACCTCCCAATACTTGTCTCCTTGTAGGCCCTACTCTCCATGCTGCTTTCCTCACCTCTCTAGACCCCACCTAGCAGACCCTCCTCCCAGACTCATGGCAATATACTCTTCGTTCACACCCAGCTAGCCACCCTGTTAGACTCAACTTTTCCTACTTTCTCCCT